CAACCTCAGCTCTACTCATATCTTTGTGGGAAAATTCTAGTGCAATTTCTTCATCACCTTAAACGAAATAGGATGAATACATCTCATATTAAGGGATATAATGTTTCAAAACAATTACCCATAAGGGTTAGTAAATAATTACATATCAGTTGTCATTATAAAAATGAAGGGAGTTTGCTATTAGGTGCGGGATAGACCACTGGACAATTCTTCTTGGTTCCCGATTTTGCCTTCCTGTCAGCTAACGAAAAAGTACGGTGATCTACTAGGGAAATAAAACATAAAAACAATGTATAAAGAGAAATTAACACTTTTTTCGGTAGTTCTTTTGTTTAGAGAATATTCAGAGCTTCTTTGTAGTTCCGGCTGTTACGAGGTTTAGTGCTCATGTGGTAAGGTATATGTGGGAAGACCTGCCGACCCATTCACAAGAGACTATGCGAACACAAAACCGCATGTAAAGGGTGCACAAATATGAGCTCACAGAACACATGGCCGATACAGTGCACTCAATAGACTGATCCAAATCACAACGCGTTTTGGATTACGGGGAATTTACGTCAAAAGCGTAAGATCAGGGAGCCTATATAAATCAACAAAACAGCCAACGTCCTGAATAAAAGGAAGAAAGAGGGGGAAGGGAACGAGAAGTATTACCGAGCAAGAGGAGGAGGCTTGATTAGGCTCGAATCTGGCTTTGACTCTTACATCATACTCATTTCAAGAGCAATGTATTCCTACAGCACACGTGTAATGGAACGCAATCACATGCGGTAACATTTTAGGATGAAAAGTATAAGTCTTTTAGGGAAGGACGCAGCTATTCGGTCACAATGGCGTCCTTTTCACATTTCAACTGTAGCCACTTGGCATGTCATGTGCAGCCACTTAACTTAACTTTTGAGCAAATATTTAGGCAAAGCATAGGATATCCAAACAAAACACGAGATGCCTAATTAAGTGGACCAAATTGGAAAATAAGAAGTATGTAAATTTAATTCCGGCCGCTTTTTTTGTCATCGTGTTTTAGTGAATTATCGTAAAACATTGTGTCCATTACATGACGGACTAAAGCTAAACAAAGATTGATCGGGTCCGCCTGGCGGTTCGCCGAGGACCTATTCGCATAAATTTGCACTCATGGCTTTAACTCACCCTACAGCTTCCGATGAGGTCAACTTACAAAGCCCTTCCACTTGCCTCTTTAAACTTAATGAAAGTACCCCAATTCTAGATAATAAGAGTGACACCTATGCAATTGGTACACTTAATTTCAGAGAGCTTAGAAGGACATCAAGCACTCTTCAATAAGACTATCGTGCTTATGCTATCACAAATTTATGAGATATCGTGTTTATACCTCCCCGAACAGAAAACGTACAGTGGCTTAGAATGAGTGAATGCTTAAATATCCAAGTTGTTTTAGTCAGCCTAAAAAGATATGATGTCTAATGGATAGTTTATTTAATTAATGATGGAGAAGGTCTCATTCTGCATTGAGATCTACTGTTTTCCTCCCAAAAGAATTTTTATCGGGCTTAGAATAAAGCTTCCACTTCGCATTAGTTCCACCTCAAGCATATCAGAACGAAGCTGCAAATTTAGGTAGAGGGGAACTTGAATATATGCAGGGGGAGTGATGGATAGACATGCAAGGCTAAGGAAAAAAGAAGAAATGCCACATATTTTTAACAGAAAATCGCATACTATAATCGGATTTACCGGTTACTTATACGAAATGTATCTTAGAGATAAGAATGGAACTACTTACTGACTACGTTGACTAAGATACTTGCGAAGTTTCTGGGAATTATCCCATCAACGGTTCAATGCCACAAGAATATGAAAGCATTGACCGAGTAAAATACAGGGTTAGTCCTTCGAAGGATCCCTGAATATGACCTGTTTGCTTAAAATAGGTAAAACAGGGTACACGCAACATAAATCTGAGATTAAAACAAAATACATATAATCTTGTGTTATTTATCCACAAAATTAGACTCCTACGACATTCTTTTAGGGAAAGTTCATATTGTTCTCAATGTCTTAACTCGACAAACAGACTTTTTCGTTCTGGAATCCCAAATCCTTGTGCTTCTTGTTCGTAGTTTATTATTTTGACTTGAATTTCTGAAATATACCTAAAACCTAAGAAGGATTTAATCATCTGTTAATGCTAAAAGTATGTAGTTGGTTCACTCATTTAAGTCCAATGAGAGAGCTAACATACTTAAATAAAGAATTTGGATGAACTTAATAAAATAGCCAGAAACATCGTAACTCCCAGCAGCTAAGGGGGCAAAAAAGACGAAGGGCTACAACAAGAAGAGTAGGAAAGATAAAAACAAGCATGAAAAGTTTCTAGATTATGACTGCATAATTGAATCAACTTTTTCAGCAGCAACCTCAACAGAGAGACCATCCAAGACTCTACTATGGATGAATGCTAGCGAATAACATGGTAGTTGAGTTGGTTAACAAGTGTGCTTGTACACCAAACAATGAATGATCGTCGGGCTCACTTGGGAAGCAGGAAAACCGGACAATCGGAAGATGTTAAACACACTTGGACATTCACGTGCCAGTATCACCTCGACCAAGTGGCAGGTCTTGTAGAGCATTGGTAAAGTGCCGTCTGAAGGAGCTTGGAATAGGTCATTATTAGCCTCGCTGCAGGCCTTCTTTGGCATCTTGTATATAAATAAGAAAAAAGTAAAAATGGTTATGAAAACGTTAATAGCTTTTGCGAAAGTATGAAGACAGCTATTAAGAAATGTCATAATCAAAACTTTAAGGCTATACCAAGTGCAATTGGGTTACGATGAATCGCCCGAGATTGTATTATTGTAGTGACTTTGTTTTGTGTGAAGTTATCTGGTGAAGTGATGCATAGGTTGATCTGCTCATAAGACAATGGCTGATTCCCGTTTCTCTCAAGTTGTATGATTTTTATGACGATAAGGTTTATGCAGTCTCCAAAACAACACAATCATGCTTTTCCTGGAGTCATTAAACCATAATGACTCTTGGGCCTCATTAGGCAACCACAGACACATACACACTCACACGTCGGCATATACACATCTAGACAAGTAGACTAGATTATAATGAAAAAGGCGAAACAGATAAGTTTATATATATATATATATACATATATTTTATGTTATAGCACGTAAGGTAGAACTGATTAGTCATTTTTCATTTGTTATTAACTTGAAATCATTGTAAGGATGAGATGTAGCTTGCCCGATATGAATGCTATGAATTCTGGAAGTTAAATCCTTCCTCACGCGAATAGAAGGAAGATGTCTCATGAATTACGTCAATCTGAACTTTATACTAAAATTAAATGACTATAAAGCAACGGAAATCAGCCACCGTCTTCGGATGAGCACGACATATCCTTTCATAAGGCATATTCATGCTAAAGATTGTAATATGAGATGTATCCACCCTATTTCGTTTAAGGTGATGAAGGACTGGTAGTAGAATTTTCCCAAAATGATATGATTAGAGCCGACGTTTCCATCGAATTTCACATAGCCTTGCTTTCTCAAAAGTTGTTCTCATACAGGGTAGACTGCAATTTCGACCTCGCATCGGTCTTAGCAACACCCTCAGCGGGAGTCGAACCGTGACAGTGCAGAATGTGAGCTTGAAACTTTAACCACTCAGCCACATTGCTAGCAGTGCCCTTGGGTCACAGGGAAGATGTAAATTTCAAGGAAAGCTAGGCCTTTTGCCATATATTCTTTGGTGTAATTGTCGATGAAGCAAACGTATATTTGCTATAAAAATCGACTACCTTAATTATTTTTCGTTTTTGAGTAGAGTTTCAAAACTACCAGTAAATCAGTAATATGAGATGTATTCAACCTATTTCGTTTAAGGTGATGAAGGACTGGTAGTA